ACAAATTTTTTTCCAAAATCAATTATTTTGTTAAGACAAGCAGAAAGTTCTTTGAATCATTTAAATCGGACTCTTAGTTCTCTCAAAAACTGCCATTTTTTACATATTTAGCTCCGTATCTTCGAAATGGCTGGGCCTGCATTTGCCAAAAACTAATAAACACTTCTCCCAATCATTACTAATTGAATGTTTTTTAGATCATTCAAATCGGATACTCCGTTCTCTCAAAAACTCGATTTCTATTTTCTGCACTCTTTGCTCCGTATCTCCGAAACGGCTGGACCTGCCTTTGCCGAAAACTAATCAGCTCTTCTCCCTATCAATAGGAATCGAATGTTTTTTGAACCAGTCAAATCGGTTGATCCGTGCGCCCGAAAACGTGAATGGAAATTTGTATCCATACATACACACACACACACACACATGCATTTTTTTCTTAGGTATGCCAAAACGTTCAGAAACCTTCAAAACGTCGAGAAATGTAAAAATTTTCAATTTCGATTTTCGGCCCATTACAATAACTTACCCTACGGGAAAATAATAAAATAAAAAAAATTAGTAAGTTGAATTTTCTTGCAACAACATAAACCTCTCTTTCGGGATGTAATCTTTTTAATTTATAATTGCAAATATCAATTCTTCAAATTTACAATTGGTAAAAAAATAATGAAGCGAAAGCAATTAATAACTTTCAGAATTATTGCAATAGCATAGCTCGACTTATTTAGTTATTTTGTAAGTGGCTAGTTGTAATATAAAGCCAATAAATATAAATAAAAGAATTAAATGTATTTCCGAAAAAAATATTTATAATATTGCACTTACAAGTTCCAAAAAAGCCATAAATGAAAGTAATTCGCAAAATTGTAAAAATGTGTGTATTTTTCCGTGGTCTCTACGCCCTGCTGTTTTATGACAAAATTTTAAATACGGCTTATGATTTTAGGACCATGGAATTTTTATTGTTCGAAATTTTCCTCTGCCATATTTAATAAGATTAAAAGAATTAGCACTAGGGTGCTTAAAGATAATTTATATAGACGTAGAATCATTGAAATTTCGGTATTTACCTGCCTAGGAGTAATCCTTGCTCTCTTAGTCTCTAATTGGGTACTTCTAGCAAAATCACACAAAATATTGTAATAAATAAAATTGAAAACTGTTTTACACATCAGAAAGAGATGCATTAGTATCAGATACTAATGTATTTAATTTCATAAAATTAATTTTCCTGTGTACAAATATTTAGTTTTGATAACTGTTTTATTGCCAAAGTCATTTGTCAGGTTTTATTTTATAATCTGCAATGTTAAGAGAAGTGAAACTTTTGCTAAAGTCAAAAAGCAATAAATCAACACGTGTAGAGAAAATATGTTGTTGGGTCATATTTTCAGAATTGACGATGTTGAAGATGCACTACGTCTTGCTGAACTGACCAATAACTAAATATGAAATAAGTGGTTGAACTTACCAAATTTTATTTTTTATTACCATTTATTATGATGATACTTTTATGAAAAAGTATTTCAAAATTATCCAATAAAAAAAATATCCATTATTTCAGAATTAATAAGTAAGTTTCTGTTTTGAAATCTACATTACAATGTTAATGATAATAATTAATTTCTTACTTGTGAATATTGTCAGGAACATTTCAGGCGCATTTAGAACAACGTGCATATTTTATATACAGCATTTTTTATTTTAACAATTTTGATAAAAAATGCAAACATAGATATTGTTTTTTTACATATATATTAGTTGAAGAATAAATAAAAAAAATTAATAAAAAAATGTACAGGCATATGTGTTAAGTTTAACAAGATCGTTCTGCGACAATTAAAGAACTTTTTCAGTTTGATTCGACAAGACGCTTTATTCCAGATTTAGAGAAACCCCGTTAAGACGATCATGCTCAGAACGATTTCTCGCATAATACTCTACATTGAAAAACATTTTCCTTATAACCAGGATATAGAAAATCTATAACTCTATAATCTGGAAAATTGTCTCAAAGGAGTTTTACTGCAATTAGCACGTTAATTGCACGACAGTATCAGGAAAATTTTACATGAAATTTATTGATAATTTAGTTAAATATGTATCAAGAAAACTTGCTATATCAAAAAAAAACATTTTTTCCAAAATTCTGTACATTTTTACAAAATGTATAATTTCTTAGCATCAGACACAAATGGCTTGCATGGCGACCAACGTGTTAATATTAAGTTTATCTCAGCATTTTGATACCCTTTTCAAGCATAAATTTTATTTTTGTCAAATTTTCTATGATCCCTTCACTAAGTGGTTAGAGCTATTGTCTTTCGAATAGAATCAGATCCCACTTTGAACTGCCTGACATCAAAAAGTAATGACATCAGTTGAAGAAAATGATGAAAATATATTTCCAAGTGAAAACAGATCATCCTCTGCATTGCTACATCAATTGAAAAACTAGTGGTGCATGGCATCGGGCCTTGCTAGAACTTCCCGCACCGAAAATTAGA